ATAGGCCATATATATATACATCAGAAATAATGCCATAGTGTACAGTCCGTTCAGATTAAGTAAAATGCTTTATGTGTCCGTGATATGTACAGTGAAATAACTATAAAACACAATTTCGTTTATTTTAGTAGTAGCGATACAAATTTCAGTTGTTCCAAGAAATTATTTATTAGGAAAGCAATAGTATAATTACTAGAGTAACTAGACCAACAAACTTTTTATTTTTTTCCTGACGCTTTCATATACACTGATATACCATATTGCATTTGAATATGCTTACAGATGCTTGGAAACACTTGCTTTCATTCGGATTCCGACTTCCGCAACGCTCAATCCAATATACAAGACAGCGCACAGGGGCTTGCAATTGATGATTCTGTTGTCGACAAATATTCAAGCCAGTTTACGAAATTCCAAACCGAAAGAGATAATGACATAGAAGTAGCTTGCAAGTCATTTTTCAACAGACATACTTCCTTGATGGTAATGCATGTATTTATATTCTCTAATATTCAAAGTTATTGAACTGCTGACATGCTATTTTGAACCTATTTGAGTTCGAATGGTCACGTTATTGAGTAGGGGTCATGCATATCACATAATTACAGTTATTAGTGTTTGAGTTTATGTGTTTAATGGTACTGAATTCATATTAAGAGTGAACGCAAAGTAAAGTATCAAGAAGTGATTAACAAGCATGCTGGATGTTACAGAGAAAAGGTTAACGAAGTCAGTACATTGGTTTTCATTGATGTGTATTGTATATTTACATTATTGCTTTTTGCTCATCAGCGATGGCATGACACCTTGATATTGTGATTATGTATATAGGGTTTCCGGCTCATGCAAAATGACACGTGAAAACGAAATAAATTGAATACATTTATGAAGGAGAATTATTGGTTATTATACCAACAAAAATATGTTTGCACGGATTCCTTTGATTACTGAAGCGTTTCTATTTGTTTACTTTTCAAAAAGTCGGAAGTTAAATCAGTAATAAATGAATTTTAGTTTTTCCCATTGTCTGCTCATATAAAATATTGTACAATTGTATATTGTATATTTTTATAGCGATTTCCATTATATCTAAGCATTGCAAATAAACCACAAAAACTTTCTAGTCAAAAAAAGCTGCGGAAGAGAAGAGCATAAAAAAAGCTAGTAAACAAAGGGATATGAAAGCCGACCACGCTATCAATAAAAAACATCAAGAAAGTAGCGCTGCCACGGAGTTGCCGCCGAAGAGCTGTCCATCTTGTTTTTCGTGTGAAAAATCAGCAAAAGAAGATCTGAGTTCCCTTATTGACAGTCTTTACGCAAAAAAGTACGAAACTCTTTCATTTGGATGACTTTTTTACTGAATATCACAAAAAATCTTTGATATATGGAGAGATCGTTTATGAGTACTCTCCAGGTAGATTAGAGGATTTTTCTCCTGATTTTTTGATCCGACCTTGTTTCAGGGGACATTTTCCTTCTTTTGCTCTGTACTTCATAGTTCAAAACTCTTTTATTTAACATTACTCTCATTATAGAAAATACTGTTTTGTACATTAGTGAAAACGTTTCATAAACAATGTTTAGGATATTTAATTATGTTTCAATAAAACGTGATTCAACGTTATGGTGACAGTGTCCATTAATTTAAATTTATTGTAAGAATAGACGGTTGAAAAGTGTGAGGTCTAATAAGCCTTTCTTGCGCGTTGGCCCACTAAAGAATTGGGATAAAATACAATACCATCAAACGCGATATCGATAATAATATTGATAAAAGCCCAATCAAAGGAGGAATGCACTATTTTGGCCAATGGAATTCATTCTGTTGTATAGGAATTTTATTTCAAAATCACATGATGATAAAAAAAATTCGTATTTTTAAATAATTTACTCGGGAAAAAATCAGTAATTTATAATGTTACAAAGGCCCAAATATGATAAATGTAACAAATATCACTGTTCTTCAGGAAACTATTTTGAGAATTTCATGAAGTGCTGTCTATATGCTGAATTACTTTAAGATAATGAAATATTGTAGCATCGTGTAGAAAATTTTCAAATATAAAAAGATATCACCCTGGCGATATCGATTTTCATCTTTGAGTAAATTTTCTTCATGATATTTTCATTTCTAAACATTCTCCAGAGAAATTGAATCTTATAACATATATTCTAATTTGCTTTACGATGGATTTTTATGGCATGATTGCTTAAGGTTCAGCTGACAAAACTCTATTACATCGCATGGAAATTATTCAATATCGATCAATGTCTGCTGGCTGCTTCCAGTTATCTTTCACGACTTGGTCCTATTTATTATAATCTGCAAATTATTAAATTGTCAGTTATTTATAAAATAATGCACCAATATCACTGCAAAAAACTCCCTTCTGCTTCACGAACTATTTTTTAAAACAGAGAAATGTTCATATGAAACGGGTTTTTCTGTTAGATCTGTCAGTAGATGTTTTTATTGAGTGCATCGCTTTAGCACCAAACTCACCCAAAACTCGATCGAAGTTGTTGGCGTTTAATTATGGAATTATCTCCCTAGAAACATTTAATCTAGTAATTATACTTCTTACAAATAGGAACTGAAAAGCCTCCCACCTGGGTACTTCTAATCTGAAAACAACACTTAAGTATGCTTTTGTCTGATTGTTGTGTCGTGTTTATCATTTTATCATTTCCAGTCCAGCCTCATTGCCACAAATTGTGCAGAACGCACGATTCATTCTGCACTATTTTGATAAGCCAATAATTCAATAACAATTGCTTTTAACAGAAAATATTTGGCAAATATCAGCCCTAGCAACCTAAACCCCGTAGTTGGGTACACAATCTTTGCGTAGGCTGAATGCTGAGTCATATTAATCATCGTTATTCCGCTGTGCACCGTAGTCATTTGGCATATCCTATTTACAGCGGTCTCTGTTGCGCCACCTATCACCCTGTAGTCATCTTGGCATTCCGTGGTGTTTTTCCTGTTTCTTGATGTTCTTTCTTTGTATGATTGTGTTTTAATTAGGTAAATGTTTAATATACTATAGCAATTGTGGCATCCCGTGGTTTGTCTCGAATTTTCTTGTTGTTGTTTTTTTCTGTATGATTGTGTTGGGGCATCCCGTGGTTTAATTCTATTTTTTTATTCTTCTTTTATTTTGTATGATTGTGTTTAATTAAGTAAATGTGTAGTATTGAGTTGTCCGGTTGCTATATTTGCTGATTAAATTTAGCTGCAGGTGTCGCCGACTAGACGACTGTTTGAGTCTTTCGCAACCCCGCGTCAACTGTAACAAGCCGATATCCGTTTTTGGAATTTGTTCATTATTGTATTTATTCATTATTTCATATCACGCATTGTTTTTTAAATATCCGAATCTGAATTCTATGATGAAGCAAAATTTATTCAATCAAAAATCTGATGCCGCACAGCATCACGTGTTAGAGTGTAATAAAAATACTAATTTTTTGTACATCCAGCCGGTTTAAGGAAAACTGTATTCAATGCAAAATGAAATTTACTCATTTTTGGAGTGAATAATGACTTTTCTTTGCATAATTGTATTAGTTGTCGTGCTATTTATGGTTAATATTATCATTGATATTGTAATATAACAAATAAATGAATTTGCGTGTTTAGTATCCTCTTTTGTACTCAAGAGAAAGTTTCTGGAATATGAAATTCGATTTTACGATGTAGGTGTCCTGTTGATTTCTGTAACAAAGTGAAAGGATTTAGATAAAGTTGATAGTGTTGTAACAAGAGTCAGGCACGTTTAACTTTCAGCTTATGAAACGGTCTTGTATTACAGTAGAGTAGCGATCAATCGTTTTTCATAATGTTTAATGTCTTTTAGAGACTTTTAACACATCCAAAAGTTTTGTACAATACCGAATATCTTTAAAATAGTGTTTTGTTACCGGTAAAAATTTAATAAATGATAATATTTCGAGGTCAATAAACTAAAAGTATATTTTCCTGCATTGCAAACAATATACCGAATATCCATAACGTGTTCCGGTAATATCATATTTCAATACCCCTATCATTGAAGTTTAAAATATCAAAATCGATCAGAGATTCACGTCTACTGACTACAACATAATATAACTTTTATTATATATTCAACTACTTTGTGTAGTGAATTGAAGTGCGCATGCGCTACCAAAAAGATGTATAATGTGCCGTTATATCGCAATGACGTCACACATATCCAGGTTTAGACGAACACTAACTTTGTTTGGTGAGACGTAGATAGACAGATTTCACCGAAGGTTTTTCCCTAAGGAAAACGACCCAAATGAATAATTAATTTAGTTTGCAGAAACCCTCGCGATCGTCGAAATGATAAAATTTCTTGTTTATCTCGGGTATTTCAAGGTGGTTGAGAAACGACAGCAATTTATGAAAGTTTCCTTCTAATTAGATTAAATAAAGATATTGAGGGTATAGAACTTTCGCACTATTCATCAGAGTCGAGTTCAGGCCTGCAGTTGTTGAAAATATACAAAGATCGAAAAAAACATTTCACAGAGTAAATACAGACGCTTGTTTAGCATACAATCGATATATGAATAATATATTTCAGTGATCTTTGGCGGGTTGTTATTACTCGTCTTTGGTGCGGAATTTAAACTATTGATACAAGGTATGTAGAATTCTGTTTTACTTTGTATTGCTGAATTTGACGACTTAAAAAAAATTTTCAACCAGAAGTATAAATCAGACGAATACATATTCATATTATGAATATTGGTCATGAGAAATAATTCTAAAGCTATATCGTTTCTCTTGCACAATTTGAGCTTGAACGTAAAAAAAAACAAAATATTGCGCAAACTTGAAAAAACCGTTAATTAATGATAGGGCTGGGAAAATATGAAAAGAAAACTGGTTATTAAATGATTTTTGCGTATTCTTGCTAGCAACACTACTTTGAGCAAAAAAGGTCTTTAGTTCGCTTTTTCTAACATTCCTCAGAGTAAAGGCGGTTTCCACGTTGCTGCAGTATAGCTTAATACGTCTCGTTTATCTCTTTTGTGCTCTGTTGCAAACCGTTATGGTCATTAGCATTTCTATGAAACCAGGGGTGTAGTATGCCTGTGAGATAATTCCGATCCTAGCGTCTGTTAATGGTTTTATGAGTAGCTAATAGCCTACTGGAAATACAGACATATTACGTTGTATTTGATTTAGTTTGTTTCACTAATATTCTTTAGTTACTTAGTCGTATTGTAATTTTTTTTTTTTATTAAAGGAGAAATAAAAAGCACTTCGCAAAATAGCCTTTTGTGCTGAACAATAGAAAATATGTCACTCAAATGTGGTGAGAAAAAAAATACAAAAGTATTGTAATACTTAAGTATGGATGCAATATAAACTATTCAAAATGAACAAAATCAGATCGCGAATTGTGCGTATCACTAGATAAAGATTCATTAAATATTTAACAAGCTGGAATATGTCGTAAAATGTAGGGAACCATGCACTGTTCTGCAGAATTAATTGCTTATTTTCGAACAAGTGACTAATTGGCCATCCTAATTTCATTACAGTATATATCCCTTTTTTAATACAAAAATAAATATTTTTTATATTAAAACAGATATGAGAATCAAACTTAAAGTGGTGTTTATACTGATTCTAATAATTGTATTTAAATTTGATAGTTATAGCTGTCTGAAGCACTGGCTATCAAACAAGATTCCAGATAAAGATGAAAACTGCTTATGCAACAAATGGGTGTACTTGTCGTCAGACATAAAATGGAAAACGCACGAATTCAAAGAAAAGAACAGATTTAATTCTGCAAAATCTTGCCGATATGCAATTCAACTCAATCGGACTAAATGCGTTTCTACAAAACTGCAAGCATCAGGGCAGAATGTAGACGGTAAAAAACATTGCAAGAAGGGTCAGGTCAGGATTGACAGATCGTTTTACCTTCCACGAAATCGATGTCACGCCGGATTTCAAAACTTCCAAATAACTGAAAATTGTGACAAGTGCGAGGATGAATACAAAAGAACGTTTTCTTTGTGTTATTCAAGACTGAGTGAGAACAAAAAGAACAGGGTCCACTACTGTAAAGTGAATTGGACAAATTGTGAAACGTCACAATGTAATTCTAAACCCCACTTCCGGTGGTCATTGGTAAAACTTTCTGATGACTGCGGTGCCAAATGTACCGATGGGCTTTCAATAGGTATGATAACATCGGTAAGAAAATGTGTGGCATTGCAGAATAACAGTGACATCGCATCAGGTGTTAGTTGTTTACCTGTCGAAGTAGGAAAAGAACGAAAATTTAAATGTCCGTTGTTGCCGAACTGCAACGATGCTATTCCCACAAATGAAATTAAGTTTCACGTTGCCACGTCCGATGCGCTTCCTACGTCCACCGGAATTCCAAATCAAGAAAATGATGATTGCAACTTATCAACCACATCATCAAATAAAGACATTAAAAAAAACCAAACGAATACTAACATGGGTATTACCGTGATATTCACTTCGACTTTTAATAATATTATCTCAGAAGAAGTAACCGTTTCTGCCCCTGAAGAGGATACTAATCCAGAAACAGAAGTCATCCTAGTGACGTCATCATCGTGGAGTTCCTTTGTCGTTGCCATGACCATCATCGGAATTATACTTCTTCTAGTTGTGATATGCCTCGCGTCAGCTGTTTGTTATATTGTGTTTTGTCAAAACAAAAAGAATGTGACAAATATCTACGAAGTAGTAAGAAGATCTAGAAATTCTTTAGAAAGAGGTTTGTTGGTTTGAATGATGAATTTAGCTTTATCATAACTGGCAATACAATAAGGTTGAGGGTAGGACCGTGTATAGATTATGTCTGAGTATGGATTTCCCAGGTATGATAGCTAAAGGGCAATACCAAAATTACCCCATTTTTAAACAACTGATATAGGAAATCTATTTCACCTTGGAAACGGATATCGTATCTAAACTTTTTAATCTAATTTTGCTTTGGACGTTCGCCCATCGCATTGATTTTATGGATCGAGTCGGGCGCAAGCTCGCAATGTAATGGCGTTGAAACGTCAAAATGTTTTACACGAGCAATAATGTTTTTTATCATCGAATTTTACGATCGCTGCTGAAGCTAACAAATCTTTGCAAAGGTGATTCCATGAAATTAACAGTAATATTCCGATGGTACATATATTTTTTTTTGTAAACAGTATGTAATCAGGTATTAATATTAAAAAAATACCCAAAAAACTGTGTACATCCTTTTAGGGTAAACCCGTATTATTACAGAAAATTATGTTCAAATAAAAATATCGCTTTTTACCACCGCAACAAATGAACTGACTGAATATGGCGTGACTAATAAATTTAGGCAGTTACTAAAATTCTATACTCAAAATCCTGATACGCGGTTAATTGAATTTATTCCTTCTGCATAGACAAAATACACCAATTTATTCAAGATCATACTGTTGTATGCCCTTACCCAAAGACAAATTTGAGGTTTCTGAAACTATAGAAACGTTATTTTTGTCAATATCTATGAATTAGACATAAGGAATTTAAATAAGTTATAATGCAGTAACATGTAACATTATTGTATTTGTTTTTAAGGCTACGAGAGGTTTAGCGCATTTATTCGCGGTCAGAACCAATGTATCGATTCTACTAAGCCAGGCCCATCTCAAACAGTGCCGATGGAAGCAGTAACGCCGGTAAGTAATTTTTTACAATTGAATGATCGAGACGCTCATTTTCAAACTTCTATTTTATAAACATATTTCATTGAAGTCACTTCTCATTATAATTAAGTTTGATCGCAACAAAGGTGCGTTTTATCTAGAAGGTAAATTATTTGAATGAACAAAATTCAAGTCGTTTGTTCCCAGATTACACTACATATGAATGACAAAGTAGTGGTTGATAATGATGAAGATGCTGAATATTGGACGATCTGTGACGTGAATGGCGAAGGAGTGACGTCATTTTTTCGTGATGACGCCATCAATCATAACATACCATTGGAAATGAGGAAAACGACGGCGCAGTATGATCCACCGAAAATAATTTCAAAACTTTCTGGTTCACTAAGCCATGGCGGAATCTCAAACAAAGCAAAAAATCCCTTAGTGCCACCTACAGGAGATAGTATGCGCAGTTCAAGTGAAAGTAAGCAAAACATTGAAAAAATATCCTAATCACACAAATTTTACGATTCCAATGCCGTAATGCAACAAATTAGGTAGCGATCCAAATGTATCGCTTACAAAACGCATGGTATTTAATTACGGATTTCAATTAGTCGATGACGTGATTTGAAAGACTATCACATTTTTATAATATCGAAAACCTGGCTAAACTAAAGCACGTCACAATTAAATAGAAGTGGAACCACTCCTACCACTTTTCAGTACTAATAGAAATTTGAAAACAAATCAGGTACAGATAATGCGGCACCCTTTTTTCTGGTTTCATCTGGCATTGGCAAATCCTGATAAGAGAAACATTGTAATCCCCCTGGCTATAAACTGCCTATACCCGCGTCTACCAACTGAAGAGGAATTAGTTCCAAAATAGGCCAAAAATGAAAATCAGCAAAAAGGCTTGAGAACCAATGGTCTATAGCAGGCCTACTCAACTGGCGGACCGCGGTCCAAATCCGGACCTTTCGGGTATTCGATTCGGACCGCGCCTAATTCTTTTTTTTAGATCATTATCCCCACTTTTAAAGTTTCCTTTTATAAAATCCTTTTATAGATTTAAATATATATGAAAAGAACTATGACGCCATAATAAACAATCTTGATTAGTTAATAATCATTAGTCGGCCGAGAAAGTGCGTGTTCAAGGATGTTCCGAAATATAATTTCTAGAAAGAGCGGACCCAAATATTTCTGAAGTTTCGTATGCGGATCTTCGGTAAAAATAGTTGAGTAGCCCTGGTCTATAGTTTACACTCTATAGTATACCAAGAGTCTGTAGACGGTCGAAACTATTTTAAATCATTGTGCCATTGTGTTAGGTCATTATCTGTCTGCTTGAAAAATGCTTGTTTGGAGAAAAATGTTTAATGCCCTTGGCTCAGGCGTTACCAATAATAACAGGTTGTTAAAGAATTACTTTTTTATTTTTATTTTAGAAGAGCTGAAAAAGAGAGTAAGTTGTCCGGGATATGATTGGAAAACAAAAGCTCGACTATCTGCTTTCCTTGATGATGAGCCTTCGCACTCCAAAAGTTGCGACGGTGACAAACAATCGTTTGATGACATCATCAATGAAATATCGACATTGCGTCGTGATTTGTCGTTTATTACTTCACGAACCAAGTCAGAATTTTTGCCTAAAGAAGAAAGTGCGTTACATACTATGTATGCCGACAGATCATCTTCGTCAGACGAGTCAGTGAACCTATATACTTCAGTTCCCCTAGCAAACTCGCAACAAGAGCCGATACCAATGTATTCTCCACGTTTATCAATAACTGAATCTCCTTTTAAAAAGATTTTGCCGCCTAAAAGCCCAATTGTGGCGTCACAGGTGTGCAACGTAACGTCATTAACTCAAAAATCGCCTGCTATAAGTGTGTTGCACCCTAGAGAAAGAAGATTCGGTCTGATAAGAGGAAGAGAGGATCATAACTTGGGGAAAATTGTGATAGACACGACTAAAGCCAAACCAGAACATATAAACACCGAAGCCAGGATTGCTAGACCCCATCATTCGTCGTTTGATCCATATTATAAATAAAAATGTGTTGTGATATAAGTAATTTTCATCAATTTTAAGATTTTTTTTCCAAATAAAAATATGTATCTAACATTATAATAAAGCCGTACAATTTGTTATTATTCAAATACATGTTATTTGTTCTTTATAAATTTTCATAAATTCATTATGATTATTGATTCAATAAAAGCATCGTTGTAAACGACAGGTTCTAAAATATCACTTATATACTTATAGATTCAATGTCATATGCATATACCGCCAATACTATGGGTAGGCTATATATAACCATTTGGATGTATCAGCCATTCAAGTAATGTACATAAAGTGCGAATGCCCTATGCATATATAGTCAAAGAATAAATACACACAAATTTTTATGCTCTGGTCGACGAAAAAAGAACGAATCCTATTTACTTAATTACTACAATTTATGCTCAGGCAATCTATATCATAATATCTTCACGTCCAATTACACTTACAATAACAAAAACTAAACGTTTAGACTTGAAATTTCAAAGAAATCACGGCATTAATGCCGTCTATTATTATATCGTAGAAAATATAACATTAATATGACCACACAATTTTTATATAGTCTACATAGGCCAGCTATATTATAATATCTGTACTTATGTCTCATTACAATGTAGAGTTGTAGGAAAAGAAAAATATAAAAAATTTGCCGCGGTGGTTGAATTCTTCATCGTGTTATCTAATTGATATTTCACGTCTATATCAGGGCTTTAAATGTTCAGGTACACGTCTATTATCATATGTCGCAACCTCACTCGGTGCATCCTACAGCGAATGACTAACTAATGCGCGATTCAGCAGATAGGCTACATCGCAACGTCTGTAAAAAGATGTGATAATATTGGCGCAAAGATAATATATTTAGGCGATATCTTCCGAAAGGGTCGAGAACTAATATTTGTTTTTCATACTTCCGGATACATAAATAGGAGCTCGCTAAAACGGAGTCATCACATAGTCATAGACAACCGAATTAGAAAGATGGCTGAAGCAAAACCTACCAAGATACTTTTGAGGGCCGCAACTAAAGTAAGCCTTAATGAGAGATTTACCAAGCTAATGCATAGCCGACCTCCAACCGTAATAGAGGCTAGAATCGCGGTTCACGGTACAGTACGCAAAAGTAAAGGGCGATTAGCACACCAGCTACAATTAGAGAGGAATCGAGTCACACAAAACTGGAATACAATATCAACAAAAGATAGGTTAGGAGCGCCACGTGGGAAGACCAGAGGACGTGGAATTTCAAGAGGAGCAAGATCCGCTGTATTATCACGCTTAGGACATAGAGGAGCAACGTTACAGACCAATGGAAACGGTTTGGTTAGCACAACAAAAAGTAAAACAAGAAGAGGTTTCGTTCGAAATGCGTTTAAAAATAAGAGAAATAACAACAGAGGAAAAGGTCGTGGTGGATTGAAGAGGGATACTCAAAGAAATCGACAAAAAAAAGTTGACAAAACATCACTGGATGCGCAGATAGAAAGCTATATGTCTAAAACCAAGAGTTCAATGGACGCCGAACTTGATGTGTATAACGCAGCAAGGTCAAATGTGATTATACCAAAGTGATTCCAATATGTATTACATTCAACATACAAATGAATTGGGATTTAGCATTTCTTTTCTCCAGCATCATGGACGCCATCCGATTCTTTTCCTTTCACTTTATTTGATAGGCTATCAAAAAACAATTCCAGTTACCGCGGAAAATCGACTTGTTTGTGGCAATACTTATCACCATGTAATAATATTATAGAAGACAACTCATTTATTTATATCTGGTATATATTTCAGCTCATTATTTAAATAAAATTTAGTATATAAATTTCATAGAGAGAACAAAATTAGTATATGATACAACGAATTAAGTATAATATTATCTAAATTGGATAAATACAAACGCTAGTTCAAATATCTATTTCTAGTACGGCCAATGTGTCCATATTTATTCATCTTTTTATAACGGTGATATCATATAAAACTAACAGGAATGTTTATAACGGTGGTATCCTAAAACTAACAGGCAGCAATGAGATTGAGCGGAATCGGTGTTGCGAGAACAGCTGAGATTGATCCAATTCGCAAAAAAGCAAATCAAAACAAGATATAATCTGGCACTTTACCACACATGTTTACGTCTACAGATTACCATGGTATTTTAGATTAGTTACGACCTGGGATTTTATTTTGTCACGATACCGCAGGTTAAATTGAATACAATCTAATTAATAAAGCAAAACATTTTAAATATTTCAGTATTGATTATGGCACGATTACTTTGCGCATCGAAAAAGCTCGTTATTTAATAAACAATAGGACTTCTCAAGGAGTGACACAGTCACGACTACTACTAAATAGCAGTTATGGGATTTTTTAATGGAGATGGCAAATATGCAAGATCGCAAAAATACGAATCAAAATTGAATATTATGGGGCATTTTTTTTCATATTTTTATGTCCACAAACTGCCTTGGTAGTTATGCTTGTATTTTGTCGTTGAACGTGCAACCATGAGACACGTTGAGCATGATTAAAGACCTTTTAAATTCTAATAGTTGTCATGGCTTAGATATTTTACGCGACAGAAAAATCACAATATCGTCACGCTAATAACCGAATTGCGTAAGTCATTTTTAGCAGTTTTGAGAAAAACGTAAAAAACTTCCTAATGATATTGTTATGTCATTGAGAGGCAGTAATTTGCCTTGTTTCAATTTTTTGATCGTAGCCGGATTTAAGTTAATTTGTATGACGCAGTTAAGTGACGTCATTATGACGCACTGTGACTTAGGCAGAAATGTGTCTATGACTTGGGGACATATGCAATTTTGCAACTTTACTATATGCACCAGTCCTGAAAACTAAACATTCCAAAAACCAATGTAATTTTTAGTATCTACAATGTCTAATCCCAAAAATAGCTAATCAGTTTCTATTACATTATCTTTTATGTTTAAAAATATATATATTTCAATAATATAACACGTTCTGCACACCCACCGAAATAAGACTAAGATTAAATATAAAGAATAAAACAGCAATGCACCCAATATAAAAGCCACCCAAGGTGAATTGGACTCGGACAGTGAATATCACAAGTGCACGCCTTCCGATACTGTAGTATAAATTCAAATTAATACGCGCTAAGCTAGAATCCGAGATGCAAAAACTCGAAAATACTTCGCAGGGGTTATTTTCCTTTTGTGACGTCAGAATAGTCCTGCGGTAACAATGACAATTGATTATGAGGAAACAATTGCACACATGTGCATGTCATACTAAATCTCCATTTTTATGGGTTTCGGAATTCTTGAAATAAAATCTGAGTCAACAGATAGGTGCGCAGCATTACATAAATACCTATCTTATAAAAAAACTCAAAATTGCCAAAAATGACTTACGCAATTCGGTTATTAGCGTGACGAGGGAATCTCAGATTTCAAAATCACCCTATTTGAAAAATCTGGCTACGCCCAAGCCATTAGGGTTTTTGAACTAGGGGCTTAGCGGAAATAGGAATCCAAAATTGTAAATATAACTTCGAACTTTCAAATTTAAATTAAAAACTTAAATTTATAAATTTAATATTAAGCTGAAAAAATGGATTTTCATATTTTGTATAAGGTATCTAAAAATTAGAAATGTGAAAAAGTGAGATGGTTTGGAGATGGTTTGGAAAATTTCTGCTAGATCTAGCGCCGGCTCAAGCTTGGCTCCAGCTCCGACTGCAGCTGCATCGAAATGTCACGGCTCGGTGGTTCCAGGCCCCGATTCCGTGGTTCCAGGTCCCGGTTCCGTGGTTCCAGGCCCCGATTCCGTGGTTCCAGGTCCCGGCTCCGTGGTTCCAGGCCCCGATTCCGTGGTTGCAGGCCCCGACTTCGTGGTTCCAGGTCCCGGCTCCATGGTTCCAGGCCCCGATTCCGTGATTCCAGGTCCCGGCTCCGTGGTTCCAGGCCCCGATTCCGTGGTTGCAGGCCCCGACTTCGTGGTTCCAGGTCCCGGCTCCGTGGTTCCAGGCCCCGATTCCGTGGTTGCAGGCCCCGACTTTGTGGTTCCAGGTCCCGGCTCCGTGGTTCCAGGCCCCGATTCCGTGGTTCCAGGTCCCGGCTCCGTGGTTCCAGGCCCCGATTCCGTGGTTGCAGGCCCCGACTTCGTGGTTCCAGGTCCCGGCTCCGTGGTTCCAGGCCGCGGCTCCGGCTTCACAACCTTGGCACTGCTAACAGGCACCCAATCATCAATATTGACTGCAATATAATTATCATCATTGTAATTGTCTTCGTGTTCTTTGATATTTTTGATAGCGTCTTCGTAGTATGGTTTATTCTGCAATTCTGGCATCGCCGTTTTGAGTTTTTCCTCCAACTAAAAAAGAGAATTTATTGACAACTTTCCACGCTGTGGAGTGGACAGCAGGGGTCGGCAACCTTTAGTCGCTCGCGGGCCTAAATTAAGGGTTCTAAGTCATTGGCGGGCCGCACATATTTTTAGAAAGTCGAAAATCGAACGGATGATATTTCTTATATTAAAAATTAAGCAGTGATACATCTCTCGAATAGAATACAGATTTATTTCCTCATTGCCTTCAATCTCAAAAAATGTCATTTGAATATTTTCGGCGCCATTGAACCCTTTGCACTTAGCAATAAATTTTCTGCGTTTTGTTGCCATTTGTCTAATTATAAGTAAATTATTAGTTCATTAAACAAGAAATTGTGAATTTTATCCTTTTCAGATTATAATATAATTTAGTCTACACGTGTATCACAATAAATTCTGTTACGTAAAGAATATAGTCGTCTAAACTAAACAGCCGTTTTGTTACTATAATTCAGTGAAGCGTCGCGGGCCGGATTAATTTTGCATTGGACTAAAATAACTCACAATTTGTCTGATATCTTTACTTATCATATTTTCCTTTATCTTCAAGTAATTATCGGCTATGACGTATGTGTTGTAGTCTGCATTATACCAGCATCTATATTAAAAGTGGAGTTGCATGTTTAATCGATGTCACCTTCCGAAACATTGGTCATAGAAGATGGTTAAATATTTCCCGTGTGTTTCAAGAACATATTAGTCTATTTCGAAACGTTCATAATAAATACGTGTGGTGTTCTCACAAAAAAAAAACGTTTTGGTAAGTTCTTACTTGAATGATATACTTTAGGTTTTAAATTAAGTAACTTTTATTTAAATCAAGTTCCCACTGTGTCTGTCTTAAACTATTTAACCACTTTAATGGTTAGTCGGCACCAGTAATTTTTTTAATTTCCATATAACTTAATTTGATAGAAAATTTGGTAATCTGTATCCAAGTATCATTTGTTCATTTGTATACTCGTTGCAATAAATATTGGGTATCGTTATCTAGAATAGTATTTCATAATCATCTTAGCGCATAATGAAACCGATAGAAAGAATGACAAATAGCATCAACGTTTAGAACAGGGTTGACGAACCTATATGCTGTCACGGGACATTATTTCAGTCACCGCCGAGTGAGCACAACTTTTTAGTCATACTATTTCCCGTTCGAATCCCGCAGCCTTTTTAACACGGATTTTTTGGTCGACTACCGGGGTATCACTGCCCAATCATTTTTATTGCACTGAATGAAATAAATTGTAGCCTTAGATATTTTATGCAGATCTAGGAATTTCTCTGACGTTGTTATATTGAAAAGAATTTTGGGTGGTAACATTGGGATAAAGCGGAGTCAGTGATGCAAGAACAGATCAAATTTGTATTAATAATTCGTAACAATGCAAAAATACAAATCAAAACTAAATATAATCTAGCAGTTTGAAGCACTATTCATGCCCGTGTATTGTGATATTTCATAGTAATGTTCTGAATTTGTTGACGCAATCGCAGATTGCAATAAACACACAATTAAATTAATATGGTAAGAATTATAAGTAGACCCGTATTGGTCCTCATTGGAATACTTTGCGTTGTATGGAAATTTTCGATCTCTTTCCGGTTTCCCATGTTGTTTTGGTAATTTCAACCTAGGTTTTATCGAACCTTCCTTTATGACATTTTATGATTTGGTGTCGGGTTAATACGCAAAATTCTAGTTCATAATGCTCCCCATAAATGGAGAACTGGATACTTAGTAATTTGCTATTTCAGAACGTGATGTTTTCTCAAATTTCACATTTTTGCATTAGTGGTGGGGGCTTTGTACAAAAGATCCGTATTTCGTAAGCCTTAGAATACAAAAACTATAAAAGTATCCATCTTTTCACGATTAACCGATTTTTAAAACGTAGGCATTTTTTCAAGATCTTGTTTGTTTTAATCGTTGAGCTGAAGTTATAAACTTTTTATTATATTCAAATATCCCGTGTATCGTGCGCAAAAACATTTCTTTTCCCTAAAGTAAGGTTACCCCTTCTTCATTAAACCGTATTCGTTTGCCGATAAGACAGTCTTTCTAGGATAAGACTAACTAGACTAAGACACTGGTTATTTTGAACCATTGTTAAAGGTATCTATAATACAGCAAAAATAGATGTATTGGAAATAGCGTTGCCAGTAATATGAATGATACTGTCGATCCCGTTCTCTTTCTACAGCCTCTAAAGGTTTATGAATTTACGCTAAACCAAACTGAATCGCCTGAATGCTTCGCGGGCCGCACGAAACTCTTTCGGCACTTCAAGCCTTGTACCAAAATCCTCCACTAAGATAACAGGTTTTTTAGATATCTAAACGTCCTTACCGATTGCAACATACGATTAAAAGGTATACCAGAGCCACTCCGAATATCATAAATTCTCCAATGATCTGAGACGTTTCTTTATTTCTTTAATAGGTTCCTGAGAATGACACTAAAATAGAAAATAGCAGACCTATTAACAACAACTTAACATTCATAACCATAGCCAAGCAAAATTCAAAATTCAACTGAATGCATATAAACGAAAATAGGACACGGAGGTTACACTTACACTGATCTTTTCTTGTCCTGCTGAAAATGGTACAATTCTGCGTGTAAGGAATGCAGGTGACAGCACATGCGCCATAATCTCCATCAAACAAAGAGAGTGCAAACCAAACAATTATCACTGCGACAGCCTGAAAATTCAAGCTTTTTTATGAAATATTCCATGTTATAAAGTTTAAAAAACGTATTCTGTAATATTGCTGGAAAACCGCATTTAATATTTAGTCACACACTAAAATTCTTACACGAACTCATAACCTACCAGGCGTAGATTTCTTATACTTTGGAATAAAGCATGTAGTCGACTTCTAACGTTTATCTAAAACTCAATTTTTCTTACTTGAGCATTGGCTTGAAACCATTTATTTCCTTTAGCATGTGGGACGTTTTTAAGTGCACAATAGCAACAACACCAGAATACGACTGGCAATTTTCCTTTTTGTTTTTCCTTTTGCATATTCCTTCAAATTAAAAGAGTAAGAGGAAAAATTTCTCTAGCTGTAAAACAGTAAATCGTTATATCCGCATTTAATGCTAACCATGACTGTTTTTTAAGCCGTGCAAGACGCAAAATCCGCTTTACGAATGACCGGTAAGAGGTAATGATGCTTTTTAACATTTTTAAAGCAAAATGTTTGACGTATATACCATGTAGATGGAAATAAATAAATGGCTAATACAATAGATATGTATTTATTTACCCATAAATAGATTCCAGACGCCATTGTCTTGAGCAAGGCTTAGCAGATACAACGAGAACGCAGGGATGGGAAAGAACAGCAAGCTATAGAAGAAGTTCCAATCTACTGCAAACATTAAAAATAGGGAACTTTTTTTAAATGTTTTTAAACTATTTAAGAAGTTGGAAATTTCTGAAGTAATAATTGGCTACTCACAGCATGTCTGCGAATTGGTTCTGCAAGGACACCGAATATTTTTTCAATCAGGGCTTCCCAATAAAAGCAGTAGCTTTCAGAATTGGAGATAATGTGGTTTTCCTTGCTCCATTCAGATATTGTTTGAGCATGGCATGTGGAAGTCCCGAGAGTTGAGCGGACATAATTGCAATTGAATAGAGTGCAATATGAATATCAATATTCTCAGAAAATATGCAACAAATGAAACCTTTTCCAAACTTTATAACTGCATAATCAAAAGGTGTAATAATTACGATTTGACGACGACATGCAGATTTACAGAAACACAGACAAAATATACCTCGCGTAAAAGTTACAATCATTCTTATATTATTTTATCTCTCAAAACACCCCGATGTAAAATTATTTATATCTATCGTTCACATCGATCTAATAAAGCAGTGTTTTTTCAACATTGTCAGTGACGCAGATCCCAATGGAACATGCCAGAGGTGCGAGGAACCCAAGTGTAACACTTGTAGGGCTGTATGTAAGAAGAAATATATAAACTATGAATATACATAAAATCAAGCCTAATACTTATAAACAAATATTCTTTAAATATAGCAAGTTTAATAATAGTGATAAGCCTAATGTGGTTATATTTAAACAACCTTCATATAATAATATATACCAAGGTGGTCCAAACCAGGCCCGTGGGTCACATGTGGCCTCGCCCCTTCATTATCTGTGGCCCGCGTCGCTTTTGCGCGAGGGTAAACAAAAAAAAACGTATTTGGTGCTGTTTTGTCATAAAAATAACCAGAAAAATCTTTTTACAAATTGTTACATCACTAATGTCAATGGATTGACTAGTGTTATGGCTATCTGAGGCTAGTCTACATTGTTAACTGGCTGTCTATTGTTTTTGTCGGGAATATATGCTAACAAAATAGGCTTCATAGAAAACTAAAATCGAATGAGAAATATATTAGCCTAGGTTGGTTATGCTTTATAACTAAATATTAAGGTAATGGCCAAACAATATAATTCCTCCCGGGTGTTGTTTTTGCAACAATGACAAATGCCTATATGTCAGAAAATTTAGTATTTACCCTCCTGTATCTGAAATTTGGTAACCAATCAATCTGCAATTATTTGTAAGTTATTTGGTAATCATGAGTTTAAAAAGAAAGCTGGTCATTTAAAACAGACAATCTAAAATGGCATTTTCTCTTTTTTGAACTTTCTCCGTTATGAGTTTAAAATCTTACACTAAATGTAGTTATAGTAAGATTTTTGTACGTTTTAGTGAGTTTTTGCATGTTTTATCTTGATAAATGATAAATATTGAGCAATGTGTTTGGACAATAAAAGTGGTTGTATTGCACTGTTTACCTATTCTTGGCGCTATTGTGGGCCGCGTACAACACAAAAAAATATTAGTGTGGTCCGCAAAGCCGACAACCTTAGACCACCCTGATATAGACTATCGGATTTAGATAAAAACCTGCGAAACCCCTGGGCTGCACTGACAGAACCCTGGTTAAAACCACTGCAAAAACTAACACTGGTTTAATTATAAAGACAACTTGATAAATACGACCTCTACACCAATTTATTAGTCGTCACTCGATGACACACAGTATTACGTCACACAACCTGATTACATTGCCTTTTGTTCTAGAACCTGTGCTTCGGGAGCACTATTGATGACAAATAAGCGGAACTATATGCTACCAACAACTACGTTATATCTATACAATCTGCACTGAGTGGCCATAACTTTGGCGTTGATGGAAAAGACTGCATCGTATAATGCAGCAGCAATCGTTTATATTTTTATATCCTGAATTTGTGGCCGGTGCTCGATTTAATAGCGAGTAGCTATTATGAGCATCATGGGCCATGCCTCCATACCGTGACAAAAATGTTCAGAAAAAATGATTGGAACACCGCTACAAAATTTACGTCAATAAACCATTAAGAATAAGGAAATGAGCGTTTAAAATATTTTGCCATTTGACCTAACATCAGACTTTTTCAAACTTCAACAATCGCAGATGAAATAGCAATGCTAAAATGAAACAGCACTCTAACTTGATTTATTTAGGAACAAAAAAAATTCTCAAAATACACGGTGTCTTACAAGTAAGTATACACTTTAAATTTTGATTTGCTTTCAGGTACTCATCATAGAGCGTTTATTTCTTCAGAAAACATAGTATGGATAAGTAGTAAAATTTAGGTATTGTTTGCATTTTTCATCAACCCACAAAATGGTAAGGAGATTAAACCTAAAAATGAGGCCAGGCCAGCTATGCATAGACCAGCTATATTATAGTATCTGTACTTATGTCTCATTACAACACAGAGTTTGAAAATATAAGAAATTAGCGGCGGTGATTGAATTCTTTATGGCGTTATTGAATTTATGTTTCACGTCTATATCAAGGTCCCAAATGTTTTGATACACGTCTATAATAACATGCCACAGCGAATTAATGACTGAATATTGTGCGATACAGCAGATAGGCTGCATCGTAACGTCTGTGAAAACAAGTCATATTAATGGCGCGAAGACAAGATATTAAATCGACATCTTTCGAAAGGGTCGAGAACTAATATTTGTTTTCATACTTCCGGATACATAAATAGGAGCTCGCTAAAACGGAGTCATCACATAGTCATAGCCAACTGAATTAGAGAGATGACTGGAGCAAAACCTACCAATACTTTTAAGGCCGCAACTAAAGTAAGCCTTAATGAGAGATTTACCAAGCTAATGCATAGCCGACCTCCAACCGTAATAGAGGCTAGAATCCCGACTCACAGCACAAGACCGGAGGGCGTGGAATTTCAAGAGGAGCAAGATCCGCTGTGTTATCACGCTTGTGACATAGAGGAGCAACGTTACAGACCAACTCAACGCGCCAATATGGAAACAATTTGGTTGGCACAACAAAAAGTAAAACACGAAGAGGTTTCGTCCGAAATGTGTTGCAAAGTAAGCGAAATAACAACAGAGGAAAGGGCCGCGGTTGATTGAAAAGAGTTACTCAACGAAATCGACAAAAACCAGTTGACAAAACATCACTGGATGCGCAGATAGACAGTTATATATCTAAAACCAAAAGCTCAATGGACGCCGAACTTGATGCGTATAACGCAGCAAGGCAAAATGTGCTCATACCAAAGGGATTCCAATTCGTATTACATTCAACATACAAATGAAATTTAGGTTACCAAATTTATTTTCTTTTTCTCTACTTAATACACCACCACATAAACTTTTCCAGTCCCCCCCTCTACATGTATCGACTTATTTGTGTCAATACTTATCACCATGTAAAAATATTAGAATGCAAGTCATTTAGTTTTATCTGATATCTATTCTAGCCAATTTTTTTAAAATCATTTAGATATATATCATGAACATTGTACAACGGAAAAATTAGTGTATACTACATCAAGTTTTAGTTTAATATATAGTAGGTCGGGGGAAGTCGGACCCACTAATAAGTTATTTTGAATAACTCTTCAAATAATGTCGCAGCTGCATTCGTTCTACTATTGATTCATGCACCCACCCTCCAGCTATCTTGCCACATTTGCACATTGTTGCCATAGCAACGAATCGGAATTTACGCCCGATTTTCAGCTAAAAAAATATCGGGGTAAGTTAGACACTTTGTGGGAAAGACGGACACACACCAAAATTAACTTGATGGTGTCTAGGATTTCGGTCATAAGATTTCGATCAACGCCTAGATGGCCCAGGATTATGTCTCTTAAATTTTTTTTAAACAGATCACTTTTCTTGCATATCAAAAAGTATGTCCGTCTTACCCCATAAAGGACATAACAGGGCAATTTTCAAAAGAGTTTGAACAGTTTTAGGAAAACTAGAAATTTAAAATTTAGTTTGCGCTTTTTCAACTGCAATTTTTATATCTTCTTTACATGGACTACCTCTAGAAGTATTTATTTTGTAATTTCTTGGCATAACCTTGGGCGTATTTTATACGCATATGGAAAAAATAATTTGACGGGGTAAGATGAAATTTTACGCCGGGCTTAACTTCTAAGAGATCCAATATAAATATGGCGATGAGTGTGCTTTTGATCTTTGTTGTAAAAGGGTACTTAGTACCAAAAAATAATTATTTATAAGTTTCGATGACGACGGCCCATTGACATTCCCAACAGACTATATTGAAAAAAATCCTCCCCCCTCCCCCACTCAAAATCCACCCTACCTCTTAAGTGACCCTGCCAACCCAAAAATGAGTACTGGCAGTCTGCTAAAGAATTTATTCGATCTAATGCAACTACTTTCAACAAATAAACAAAATAGAACCGAGTTCGCAGACTTTTCCGGCTAAAATTATTCTTCGCCACCATGGGACTCTATAATTTGACGTTTTTCTGTCCCAACAGAAACACCCCTTCCCCAAAAAGCACCGCCTTGTAAGTTATCGAGCCTGAAATGTAAAATCTTGGTTCTGCCGTTGTTCGCATGATGTCGCTCTTTCACGCGATGCGTTTTGAGCGACGAAAAAGCGCGAGGTGTCGCTAGTAGGAGGATTTTATTTTGACTGACCATCATACCCCGGGTGTCCGAACTACCCCGACCTACTATAATATAAATGTAATGAATACAAACGTTAGTTCAAATTTATATTTATTTTAATACGGCCTGTGTGCTGTTATCGAGCTATCACTTCTATGTTACAGTGCTAACAGTCTCCCACTCTGCAATATTAACTGCAATATGATTATCATCATTGTAATTGTCTTCGTGTTCTTTGATATTTTTGATAGCGTCTTTGTAATATTGTTTATTCTGCAATTCTGGCATCGCCGTTTTGAGTTTTTCTTCCAACTGAAAAAACGAATTTTTTGACAACTTCCCATACTGTATAGTGTAGAGGGATACAAACTGCCAAGACTGCACTAACAGGGATATACCTACCATTCGTGACACCCTATTAACATTACTCATATATAGAATAGATTGTTCAAAATAGATTCAATTTTAGACGACATTCAGAAATGAGCGAAAAAATTTGAATATAAATACGAATAAATGAATGAAATACGCCTCCCATATAACCATTCATCTTTTATCCATTCAGATCGCTGAATTTTCAAATGATTTTCAGGCAATAAAATATTTCATGACTGATATAAGCAAACTGAGGAATGTAACATACGGTTTTTCAACAAAGCATACGGTATGAAAGCTACATAAAATTTATAAACCCGTTGAAATGTACAGTTGAGTTATATTTACATGGGTTTTCATTACGCTCTAACGGTTTCGATCTGCTTGTTACTTTTCGAAAAAAAAAATTGGCACAAAATTTGATAAAACATTATTTTTTGAATTGAACTAAGATAACTCACAATTTTTCTGATATCTTTACTTATCATATCTTCCTTTATCTTCAAGTAATTATCGACTATGACGTATGTGTTGTAGTCTGCATTATACCAGCATCTATCACAAGATTGGAGTTACAGATTTAATCGCTGATGCAAACTAACTACAGCATCCCCTACAATCCAAATTTATGGTCCTAAAAAGTGGCTCTATCGGATAGGAGCATCATCGGATAGAACAACATGAAGATGACTATGTGAGAGAGCACAAATGATCAGCGGTTACATTTTCACCGATTTGGCAATCAGTGGGGCAATTTTAAGCACCACACCAATAAGCAAACTAGTTTTTTAGATATCGAAATGTTCTTACCGGTTGCAACATACGATTAAAAGGTATACCAGGGCAACTCCGAATATCATGAATTCTCCAATGATCTGAGACGTTTCTTTATTTCTTTGATATGTTTCTGAGAATGGCACTGGGATAGAAACAGCAGACATATTAACAACTTAATATCCTTAACCAATGCCAAGCAAAATGTGAAATTCAAATAAATATATATACTAAGGGAACTTGGATATTGTGTATTGAACTGCAGGTTCTTTCTCCTTGTTTACTTTCTACTTCGGTTCCGTATGTGGTACTCACCACAAGGATGCTTGAACGAGATAGTATTAAAGTGATAAGTAAAAATAACATGATCTCTTTCAACGAAATAGTAAGTATATTTGTGAGTTTTCGTTAGATCATGGTCTAACTTCTTCAAACGATACAAGATCTAACTGTAAATATAAAGATCACAAGAATTTAATTTATTTTAAAATTATGTTTTCTATAACTGATTTAGATGCTATGGTAATTTAATCCATATCATCTCAGAACTGTCGGTCTAACTGATGTGGTTGGGTTGAAGTTCGTCTATTTGTGTGGTTTCCTTTGTTTGCTTTTGAACCATGTTTGTTTGTTTTACTTAAATATATATAAATAACAATAGGACGTGTACGTAATACTTACACTGATCTTTTCTTGTCTTGCTAACAATGGTACAATTCTCCGTGTAAGGAATGCAGGTGACAGCACATGCGCCATAATCTCCATCAAACAAAGATAGTGCGAACCAAACAATTATCACTGCAAATGCCTAAAAATTCAAGTTTATTCATAAAGTATTCAATGGTATAATGTTTAGAAACTATATTCTGTAGTGGTGATATCAATATTGCCAAAAAAACAGAATTCGATTTTTAGTTGAACTGTAAAACACATAACATGAACTCATAGAATGAAACATGATAGGCTTGTATTTCGTACACTTTGAAATAAAGCAAGTAGTCGACTTCTTATGTTTATTCTCTTCTGGGTAACTATGTAAGTTTTCTCTCATTTTTCTAAATTTTCAGGTTTGCTTACTTGAGCATTAGCTTGAAACCATTTCTTTCCTCTAGCATCATGGACGCCATCTAGTGCACAACAGCAACAACACCAGAACACCGAAAAGCAATTTTTCTTTTTGCTTTTCCTTCTGCATATTCCTTCAAATTGAAATAAAAAAAAGGTAAAAGAGAAAATGTGGAATTCAAATTTTTCGAGTTGTAGAACGGTAAATCGTTTTAATCGCATTTAATGCTGTTTTGTTTTCTGCTGCTCAAGACGCCAAGTCCTATTCAAGAGTGACTGATATGAGGTAATAGTGCTGATTTTTTACATTTTGAAAATGAAATTTACCCATGAACAGATTCCAGACGCCGTTGTCTTGAGCCAGGCTTAGAAGATACAACGAGAATGCAGGGATGAGAAAGAACAGCAAGCTATAGAAGAAGTTCCAATCTACTGCAAACATTAAAAATAGGGAATTTTTTTATATTTTTTTCAAACTAAGTTGGAAATTTCTGAGGTAATAATTGGCTACTCACAGCATGTCTGCGTGTCGGTTCTGCAAGGACATCGAAATATTTCATCCACGAATATTTTTTCAAGTAGAGCCATCGCAATAAAAGCAGTAGCTTTCAGAATTGGAGATAATGTGGTTTTTCTTGCTCCATCCAGATATTGTTTGAGCATGGCATGTGGAAGTCTCGATGGTGAAGCGGACATAATTGTATTTGGAGAGTGTGCAATATGGACGCAACAAGTAAATCGTTTTTCCAACTTTACAACTACATAATTTAAATGTGAAATGTGTAATATTTACGACTTTATGACGACACGCAGATTCACAAAAACACAGACAAAAGATACCTCTCGAGAAAAGTTACATTAATTATTCGATTTTTTTGTCTCTTAACACGTCCCGATGTAAAGTATTGATACCTATCGTTTACATCGATCCTATAAAGCATCGGTTTCAACATTGTCAGTGGCGCGAATCCTCAATGGAACATTCCGGAGGTGCGAGGAACCCAAGTGTAACACTTGTAGGGCTTTATGTAAGAAGAATTATATGTACTATAAATATATAAAAAAAAGCCTGATGCTTTTAGAACAAAATGATCTTAAAATGTTTAATATTAGTGATAAGCCAAATGTGATTATATTCATAGAATATTCATATAATAATATAATATACACCAGGGTGGTCCAAACCAAGACCGCGGTCCATATGTGGCCCACCGTTTCCTATCTGTCAAAAAATCACATTAGGCCTGTTTCGGCATAAAAATAACTAGAAAAATCTTTTGACATATTGTTACATAACTAATGTCACTGTCACACAATTGAGTGTTGAGTAGTGTTATGGTCAGCTGAGGCAACTGGCAAAGTTGAATAGAGTGCTTGGCTAGTCTAAATTGTTAACTAGCTGTCTATAGTTTTTGTCGTGAATATATGATAATAAAATAGGCTTCATAGAAAGATAAAATTGAAAGAGAAATCCATTAGCCTAGGTTGGTTATGCAGGACAACTGAATATTAATGTAATGGCTACACAATATAATTCCTGTCGGGTGTTTTTTTTGCAACCAGCCAACAGTATTACAAAAAAATGCTGCCTATATGTCAGAAAATTTAGTAATTACTCTCCTGTATCTCAAATTTGGCGAAATTCGTTAATCAATCAATTTGCAGTTATATGTATGTTATTTTGAAAATATGAGTTCAAAAAGAAAGCTGACGAATTGAAACAGACAATCTAAAACGGCATTTGTTGGAACTTTCTACGTTATGAGTTTAAACCACAGTAAATGTAGATACAGTAAGATTTTTGCACGCTTTAGTGAGTTTTTAATGATTTTCGCATGTTTTGCTTGATAAATGACAAATATTGATCAATTAAGTGGTTGTTTTATATTGCACTGTTTACCTATCCTTGGCACTATTATGGCCCGCGAACAATACAAAAACATCAGTGTGAACCGCGAAGCCTAAAACCTAGACTATCGGATTTAAATAAAAACCTGCAAAACCCCTGGACTGCACCGACAGAACCCTGGTTAAAACCATCGCAATAAACTAACTTTGGCCTAATTAGAAAGGATTCTATATATCATACGACATTGACAACTTGACAAATACGACTTCTACACCAATTTATGAGAGCGTCATTCGATGCCACACAGTATTATATTACACAATCTGATTCTATTGCCTTTGTTTTCAAACCGGCGCTTGGGAAACACAATTGGTGGCAAACAAAGCGGAACTATATGCCACCAAGAACTACGTTGCATATATATACCAAAATATCATATAATTTGAACAGCCGATCTCGCAAGATTGAGTGCCACTAAGGTTTAATATTGATACTTTTTAACCAGTTGTACCAGACTACAGTAACATTGCAATGGTTATCTTTATTCGTATCGCATTCTAACCGCTTCATTTTCAATCCATACTGATCTCCACCCCCCTGTATTTTCAAATTTGGCCTTCAATGAATTGCTAAGGTTGGATGCGCTTCGTTAATTCTGCAAATTTATACAAATAAATATTCAAGACTCGCGCTTTTCAGTCAACTGTGAAACACTGTGTATGAACTATCTCAACGGTGCATAACCTGCGGCCGTACGGCCGTCGTGAAAAATAATGAGGCCGTCCACATACAAAATCCTATGAAAAAAAAATGTCCAAATATAGGATTTGGTAGCTATGCTGGCGTATGGAGCAAAACAGAAGCACTGCGAAAAAGTATATCCAGTGCTACAAGAATTGACAAGAAAAACTTTCGTTCTTTTTAGAAGCACTTACACGTACAAAGCAACGTTTTCAAGAATGAGTACCGAATCAGATTGTTAGACGTCAATTTGGAGTGTGAACTAGGGCTGATGGTATCCAAAGTGAGTAAGTGACTATAACACAAGTGAGGACATGCATTGGTAACGGTATAAGCGCGTGTGTGACGTCACACCCGTCATTTTGGGTCCAGAATACTATCGCTGTGTGATTCTGACTAAGTGATTTAAAGTGACGATGCTCAATAATTCGGACAAAACTTTCGCAACCGCAAAACGAATGAACATTCTTCTGAAAAATTAATTTTCCGCGGATGTTTCTTAGATAACTCGGCTCGGCGATATGGTCAGCATATACGAAGTTAAGGTTAACGTCATCTAACTAAACTCGATAAATCAACATCCAATAAGACCAAAATATTAAACTAAAAGATACACATTTTATTATAAAAATTCCTGATGTAAGTATCGCTAATTACACAGAACCCTATTTTAACAAACTGACAGAACTACAATACAAATTACACTACACAAAATTTTCAACACGGTGTACTTTGCCAAAATATATTAAAAAAATATACAACATGCATGGAATGAAGAATAACAGCATATATCGAGGTTACAAGAACATCTAAAAATCCGGAGTGTATAAAATAATATATTATCTATTTGACTGGAGCTTATTAAGAATACGTTTCAAAATTTTAAAAGCGACATTGTGACAAGATGGGAAATTCTATTTCAAGCAGTCAACTTTATCTGTCAGAAAAGTAACTGGCGAACATATATTAATAAAGGCATTAATATTGGTGCGATATATAGTTTATACTCCGCGCAAACATACGACTGTTTTTTGGATGGGTGGCATAAATATTAGATAAAACTATCGATTTTCAAATTTTCATCATGTGTGTAAGACCGAAAAACGTGAAAGACGTGATGGCGTCGCTAGATCACCTTTGAAATAGTTTAAATTTTCCGAAACAAAAGAATCGAAATATTCTGCCAATAAGTTGATAGGTGCTGTAACACCAGACGCGGCGATTGGTCTTCAAATTTTGTCCGTTATAATGTACAACTTGTACACTTGAATGAACTTCATTAGGCCGCACAATGGGCTAGCCATGAGACCGTTTAAATTATATAACTTTTGGAGCAACTGTTGCAACAGCTCGTTAAATCAAGAAAAATTGTCCCGAGAAAATTCGGACATTTCATCAGCTTCTGGAATAATTAATGCAATACGCAGGCTTTAAACTTTCGGCATGGTGTGAACAGGTATCACAATACCAGTTCAAATAATACCTGCTTTTTTGTTTTGGATCAAGGGTCTCCAACTCAAAATACGTCACGGGCCACTTCATGAAATTTATCTGCGACGCGGGCCACAAACCAACAAATTAGGAACAAAATTGATACAATAAATATAACAAAAGGAATCTGAATATATTTGTTAAAATTATACTTAAATCTTCCACAAAACGAGACATAAAACATATTCATTCACTTGTGCTGGATATTTGACACCGTTTTGTAGCGATGAAAAACTCGATGTTTTGCCTTATTTTACGTTGGTTTGCTAGTATTAAGACAGCACGCAAACGCTCGTCTGTTAGTCGTGAGCTAATATCATTCGCCTCACACGTTCGATTTAATGTTAGAAATGCTGTTCCACGCCGATCAATTTGCATCTTCATTTTTCAGAAATTTAGCTTTGTGATGAAAGCAGCAATTCTGTCTCTTTGTCCAAGTATATTTGAATCTGCTCCTTGTAACTTACGATTTAGTTCGTTCAAATGACAAAACATGTTCACTAGGAACGCCATCTAATTCGAAACAATTCGTCAGAATGATCTTTTTTCTGTCGAGCTACAAGAAACTCCGCAACCTCTGGTAGTAAATGCACAAGTCGAGTCAACATCATTCCTTTCAGGATCCAACGCACAGAAGTATGAAACAATAAGGAATCATACTGATATTCCATATCATGATATCCTGACAGAGTTTTAAGTCGAGCAGTTAGAGCGCTCGTTTTTACGTAATTCACGATTTTAATTGCACAATCCCGAGTTTGTTTGAGTGGGTGCTGCATTGTTTTCAAGGCCAATGCCTATCTATGCTATTACTTATGCTGGACCAATGTCAAAACTAGATTCCCTCTACCATAAAACACAAATTATTAAAATGGCGGATATTAATAAAATTGACGTTTTGAAACTCCTGCACCAGCATCATAATAAAAAAACCGCCATTAGCATTCACCAACTATTTTGTCAGACAAACTAGAGTACACCCTCTTGGTCTGCTACCAATAGCTCTTACTATGTGCCTCGCTATACTCAACCAATCGGCCTCAAAAAGCTATTAATAAGTTTCTTGGTGTGAACTTATGTAATATGCTTCTTGATATAATTCGACCAAAGAATTATATTTCATTTAAACATGCACTAATAAATCTCTACAATGATGCTCATATTTGTCAGTAATTTGGCATAGTAAGAATGTCTCAAGAATTGTTTGAAAGTCTAATAATCAGCGTTTCCCAACCTTTTTAGGTCGCGGACTAATTTCTCACCGGCAAAAACCTTTGCGGACTCAACGTGCGTTTATTGCAAATGTACTCGGTGTGAAGAAGTAATAAAACCCAACGCAATTGCGTTTCGCCATTCGCCGCAATTGCGCGTATGTTTAAAGAGTCGAATTTTTAGTGTATAAATGGCCTTTTCTGTCGCACAATATTCAATCCATGACAACGACGAGAATTTAAAATTTCTTTCTATTTTAATTTAATTGTGTTCATGGTCACCGCGGTCATGTCGACCTATGACAAGATGAGAGCATTACTTCTCTAAAATGCCATGGCTATCTGCGAACATAATAATATGAGAATATATTGCCCGATTATATTAGTTTTGATACATAATTTTTTTTTTGCGATCTTGCGAATTTGTTATCGCCGTTAGAACATTTCTACTATCTGCTATAAATTTCCAGAAAGTACAACTTGATTTAGTATTTATTAAAAATATAATCAAAGTATATATATTAGTAAATCAAAAAAAAAATATTCATCGCCTTGCTTTAATATTAATTTAATTGTGATCATTTTAATCTGCAGTTGTGCTGACGAAATAAAAGCAATACTACTCAAGAAATATCACGACAAACCGTGGACACAAAAATGCGTGGTGAAGTGTCCGATTATATTTTGTTTTGATTCGTTTTTTTGTAAATTCAACAAATCTGAGCTGTTCGTACAACACTTACGGCGCTCCAGTACTGTACGTACTAGTGTGGAGACAGTAAAGCAAATAATCTTAAGGGAAAAAGCCCTTACTACAGTATACTACAGTAGCACCCGAAATTTTGCGATTTGCAATGTATAAAAAAGCGTTTTTAATCTGTTGTGGAATGTGGACCATCATAAAACAAAACTTATGGTGTTCTCCATTTTATTTTTAGTATTGCCGCTTTTCAATTAAGAAAATTCAGGTTGCCACCATTGATACCTACCAGAAAAAAAAACATTATTCCTAGTTGTTCAAGCGCGCGAGAAACACCATTTAGGTATCTATCCACGCGTGTGCCGACTCGTGTTTTCGTCGGGTGAGTTGTGAAATCCAATCGTTTGATTAACCGACGCGAAAGTGACCTGTCGCGTCACCTGTTACCAAATTTTCGAATAGTAAATTGCTATTCTAATAGTTGAATATATGCCCAGCCCTACTCGGTATCCTGTAAATATTGAATCGACTAATGTTACGTGAATAAACTTGCTTTTTATGTTTTATGTAAATTCTAACGTAAATTGTAACTTGGCTGATGGTTAAGTTTCGCAAAAACGTTTGCAGCCCGCCGTGAATTTCTGGCTCGTTGCGGACTCATTCGAACACTCCGCGGACTCATTTCGGACCGCGGACTAGGGTTGGGTAACACTGGACTCTAGTTTATGAGAAATTTTTTTATTTTATTTATTACACATAACAAGTCGCCCACCATGTTCATATTGATTTTCCGAAGTTGTGGTATAGCCTACTTTTCAATATCATCTGCTTCTCTCGGTGCAAAATAAATTTAGTACGACTTCTTCCTTCGAAGTATTCGCCTTTGTTTGCTCAACATTTCATAGTATGCTATTCATCTCGGTCCTAATAATTTTCCAAATGTATTATTCTTCGATATGATGTGTTCCTCAGAGCACAAAATAAATCTAATATGTTTTTTTTTTTAGCAAAGACAAGGTTTGATTGTCTACTTTTGTCCATTATAGTCATTGTTGTCGAACAGGCATGTTCCCATTATAGTTATAACCTTTGTTAGATATTCTCAAATACTATTTCCTCTTAGCATATAACTTAAATATGACTTTACTTATTCATAATTTAATTGCTATATGTGTAATCCCACTGAGATTTGAAATACTGTGCGTCTGTTTCTTTTTATTTAGACTTGATTTCTTATTGTATGTGTTTACAACGTTTCATGCACAACGAAAATAAATTATCTGAATCATGGTGCATGATGCAATGCGTCGTAATAACATTGTTTTTTTTTACATTCACAGCCTTTGTACGGTTTTCTAATGGGCGACAAAATGTAAAGTCCTCCTCAATAGTTTTGTTGTGAATATAGCAAACAAAAAACATTAGTTGGAAGAGCTACATCGACCGATTCACCAATTTGCATTTCGAATCGTAACTCCGACGTTTGTTAGAAATTGATCTTTGGTATTAAATAGCATATCCTCTCGGCGGCATTTAATAGTGTCATTGGACAGGGAGACCTTCCTCATCATTGACGCCGCAGTTTTGCTTAGTAGACTATCAGCACAATCTACCAGACAAGGCTTCATCATGGTCTCACGGATGTGGTGGGGCTTTTTGGTCCTTTGCTATTCGCTGGCAACTACAGAGGACGCAGTCACTATCGCCTTTGAACTCATTTGAAATTGTCCCATGTTGTAGAATCTCATCTTTTTTACATAGTTTGCTTTTAGTTCGAAGGAGCTGCGATCTTTGTTAGCAAACTGAGGATGGATTTTTGAAAGATGTTGCTTCAATTGACGCGTCATAAAACCATTCTGCAGGTTTTTAAGGCAAACGACGCACTGCGGCAGTTGCTCAAAATTTTTCTCTGCAAACGTGGATCTGTAGTCGAGATAACTATGATCCTAGTTTTTTTTACATTAGCCATCACCTTTTATTGAAAGTTTAGCTTTCAGCAGAATGACGCCACGGGCCAGTTATGTCTCGTATCTCTCGTGTCGAAATTTATCAAAATTTTGAGTACTCGTCGCTGAATGGGTTTCTTTTCGCCATGTTGGGGATCTTAATTCTGTTTTTTTTTAATAAAGTTATTATGCGTACAATTTTAGAAGAAGTTTTTTTGTCTCCGAATGGCGATATTTCAACGTGGACCGCGGAAGCAACGATTCTGTAAACGTAGATTAAAGTCTCCAAACTGAAATATTGGCCAGAATCGCGTTTTTTTTAATAGATTTGTACAAAATTTTTCAATGGATTTTATTACGCCAATACTTGGCCAGATGTTAGGTTCAAAGACAATAACCAAGTAACTGTATACTTCTTCAGAAATTGTTTACTAAACAAAAATAATAGATTACCTGTCGCTTTTTCTTTGACCTGGAGCCCTAATTGCGTTATACGTAGCCTATATTTAGAAAGCCCTTTCAAATGTACTTCACTTTAGGCCGCTAAATTACACCTATTTTCCAACGAAAATTAGTTCAAATTGACATCATATACCAATCGTTTACAGGAGATTTCTCTTACCCATTTTGACTATGAATGCATTTCATTTTACTTTTCATCAGAAAACTTACCTGTTGAATCATACAGTATTTAGTACAAAAACAAATTTAATTTCTAATTCTTGAACATATATAGCTTCACTAATCATGATACGATTGATCATAAATTTGGTGTTTCCAGTGTTATGAGACTGAAAATGGGAAAAAATTCAAGCAAGCTTATTCTTATCATGCACGCGCTGTGAATTAAGTCGATATATCTTGAAATATGATCTAAAATTATAATTAGTCAAATGATAATCAATACTCATTACAATATGCAAACGAGCCAACCACAAAAAACAAGCACACACAAAAGTAACACTGTGTTGAAATACTAGTACTTTCAGAATACTGATGTGGCTTATTTTGCAAACTTAAATATATCACGAATCCAACTTTCTGGATCATTATAAAGCTTGGCATTTTTTTATTTCAGCTTCTGACAAATGTGGAACAATTTTCAAAAGTTCTGTTACTCCATCGTGTATCGATTTTGTAACAGTAAACCCCACGTCTTTTATGCGCTCAAACGAAGTTTCAAAGTTACGATTGTCAGCGTCTTTATAAGCCTCATCTTTTGGTTCAGAAATTCTGATATTCGGTAACTGATCTTTAATTATCTCACAAATCTGTCTCTTCGAATAGCCGAGAGACTCGTGTCCAACATTATAAGCCTTGCCTCGCATTTTGTCAATATTATTTAGAGTGAATAAATGACATTTAGCCAAGTCTTGAACATGAATGAAATTCCTTTTGAAATCAGCCTGGATGTAAAAATGAAAAATTCATCTTAGTAACTTATTTCTTTAAATTTTTCCACTGTCATTTCAGATTATCATATAATGGGAATGATTCAGAAGTTTCAATATTTACTTAAAATATTGATTCAATTACACTAGCCAAGTCAAATTCATCCAAAATTCACAGTTCATTTATCACCCTAATAAAAAAAATTCTCAGATGTTTTACATTTGCAGTTTAACTTAATCAATGACAGGGTTTGGAATTTGCCTTATTGATAACGCAACTGATTCGATAAGCTATGTGAAATAAACAAATAGATATGACATAATACAGATACAGCATACAAATACAAAAAACAGCATGTCAGCAAGTGTTTTACCTGATACAAGTCAATATGGCCTTTAGTACATGCTTGAAATACTAGGTTGTTGACAAGAAGATCTAGTCTCATTCTTGGCGATATTCCAAAAGCACTTGGAATTCGCAAAACCTGAAAAAGAATGAATAGGTCGCTGCGAGCCTGCAAGTCAATAAATCAGCAAGTAAAGAAAATTGTGTACGATTTTTCTATTTCTTCATCGTTTCCACAAAAAATTTGATTCGCAGAGAGTAGTAAATAAATGATTAACAATAGGACATGCAAGCTGTAGATATGTCCGTCCGCATAAGATAGTAAAAACATTGCATATTTCATATTTTGAATGCTTTTAGGAATTCAGTGTAATGCATAAAAAAATTCAAAACTGAGTCATAACTACGAAGAATAATTACAGATTTCGAAAGTGAAGAAATAATTATTAAAAAGTTATTAAATTAATTTTTAACACAAGATTATATTAAATCTGAAAATTAAAAAAGAACTCACCACTCCATTTGATTTTAGAACTAGTTTTTCACTTTCAACAAATGTTGCAGCGAAGGGGGAAAGTGGATCACATTCTTCATCTTCTGTGCACGGTCCTTTCAAATTCAGAGCAGAGCGACCGTATACATTTTCTACCGATGCAAAAATGATAGGTTGATCTGGTTTCAGTGAATCTACAAGTATTTTTGTCCCTCTTTCATTCACTTCTTTAGCGATTTCTGGATACCTGAGGAAATGGAAAAGTATGAAACAGTTTTATATTGACAAAATTGGACAATGTGATGTATACCAAACGTATGAAACATTTTTTCAAAATTTCTCGATTCAAAAAAATGAAAAGCACATACAAATAGGATAAACTGGGAATGTCCAAATAAATAATGAAAATTTCTTTCTTTGTTGAATTGTCTTATAGTTTCACTTTAGCATTTGCTTGAATGATCAATGAACAATAAAAGAGTGATCCTCAACATATCGTTATATAAAACCATGAATTTAGCCTATTTTTCTGTTTTGAAAAAATCGCATTTTCGTAACTTTCAAAGCTGTGGATAATGAGTGATATAAACACATCATATTTATAAGTATGGCACCTGGGGCTATGTTTTTGAGAATAGCTGTAGGTGAATTACATACCTATATTTATCTTACCCCCATTTTGGACAAAAAATACTTCGGTTTTATATATAAGCAGTGTTAACTCTAAGCGAATTATGAGTGCGAAAGTGCTTTGCAGTCGAAAAAAAAAGTGCGAAAGTGCTTTTGCGGATTTTAACAAGTTAGGTGCCCTAGCCTTTCATATAACCCATTCAAAACGGCATAGATACTCGAAAAAGCGCTCCTCCGGTTAATATTATGAATTAAAGAGAAGCCTTTCCGTTAACCGAGTTCCCTTTAAGCGAATTCATGTTTAATTAAAACAAGCGAATTCATCGGCAGTTAACACCTGCCGCGGACAACACTTTCATTCAATGTATCACGGTGTCAGTTGCTTACTCGCGTGAACAGCAAAGGCTTTCACATTTGTTACTCCTTCCATCTAACAGACAAGGATTGATACATGCAGGCTGGAAACCATATTAGTTACAGGGTGGATCATTTGTACAAATCTCGGTGCAAAATAACCCCCCCCCCCAAATATAAATAGCAATCAACTAATTAGGGTTAGGTGCGCTGGAAATTCAACTTTTCGATTTATCCCTAAACCTAATCTGATAAATATTGATTTGTGATTTTTAACCACTCTGAAAGTCGCCACCCGATAGGTTTAAAAGATAGGTTAACCTACACCTACGTTCCCTCCGAAATATTACGCAAGATACTCCCCTGTTTTAGGAGATAGGTTGACCTACTTTCCTTTCAAACTTTTTTCTCCGAAATATTACACAAGATCACTTTGGAAATCCTCCCTAGCGTGACCTAATTTCTCATTTACATTTATATTATACTATTTCAGAGCTTACCCAAAGACAAGTAATTTTTAAATGTCGACATGCCTTGGTTTGCGTGCGAGTTAGTTTAAATCGGGCAGAAAACAACATATATTGGCAAAAGGTTTAGTAATGCCATGTACTTTCAGCATTCATAAACAGGACTCTTTGTAATGCTGCTGACCTAGTATCAAATATTCGCATCACAACGCCACTTGCGAGGTTTCCATATATTTCCATTACACTAATAGGAACGATGACACCAAAGAGTTTTCTTTTGCGAAGGTACACGAAATATAACGAGGGTGATTCTTGAAAAAAACATGAATATAAAATATGAACGAATGATATGATAGTGGATCCCAAATAATTTTGAGAGTGCCTCGAAATACCAATCCATTTGATAAATAATTTTTATTCGACCACATGAACGCTGATATCCTGAAAATTAATGTTGAAAGAGAAGTACGAATTCTCAGATATCGGACATCCAGTCGCGATATTCAATCGTTCATATGCACAAATCTCACATTAATAGTAATTGCTACCCAAGTTTAGAAACCAACAAACAGAAAATAGCTTATCTCCTAAAACACAATTAAAATTCAGTAGGCAATAAATTGCGCCACGGCGATGCCATACAAAACAAAAAAGATTTGGTCGCGAGAGTTTGGTTAGATGACTGCAAAACGACGTTGTTTTTTAAGCAGAATGTAAAACAATCAAATTAAAAAAAACGGGAGTTACGATGCCCTTAACACATCGTGTGTATTAAACTTCCCTGGTAAGTACTATTATTATTGTACTTATACACCTGTTGGGAGTATTTCGGACAATTTCGAATTTAAATAAATCAAAACCCGACATATAATAAAGACGCAAAAGTAAAATTAACATTTATTGAAAAAGTTATTATTTAAGTAAGACAACATGATCGTACAATTCCGCCAAAACCTCGATGTTCGCAAGTGAGATGATAAATAAATACTTCCCTGTATTCGATCAATTAACTTTAGCGTATCGTTGTTCTGCCAACAAACAGCCGGGTGCAAAATATTTCCGTCCTGTGATATGCTCACAAATATTCTCGATATTAATATCATACCCTCGCGTGTGTACTTTCTATTAGCTCTTTAGTGATCCCTTCCATCCTTGGCCAAGTCATGTTTCGAATATATGAACATTTTATTCGACCATACATGGCCGGCGGGATGTTAAAATTGTAAACAAGAGAGATGTAAAATTAATCGCGAATTTCGTTATAACGGCTCGTTTAAGAATTGTTGCGCCTGTTATCGTCGAAAATGATTACATTTGTTGTATTTTGAGGCATTTAAGCAGTAATAATTAGGGCATGGCATCATCAAAATCGTCAAGTGAGATCTTGAAATTGCAAATTCCGTAAATAAAATTGTGAATTACTCGGTAACGAATTCAGCTTTAATGACCGTCGGGGTATTGTTTTGTTGAAAATTCTTATTAATGTGAGAGCGCCAAAAACAGGCCATACCGATGCGACTGCAATTTATATGGCCGCACTTGGTGTGGCTAGTTTATTAATAGTGTAAAATAAATTAAACGAATATCAATTATAACCAAGCCTGTCAGCGTGTTCATTTTCTGTGGGCAAGAATCGTAAAATACCATCTTGAGACAAATTCACTTCTATTATAAAATCTTAATTTTCAGTTATTATCGTTATACAAATAAGGTGTGGCAACTTTTTAATTTATCGTCGACCAAAAAACCGTCCCACACTCGTCCAAACGTGTGTCGAGCTTGAACGACAGGAACATTTTCATCGACGACTTTAATTAGGGAAAATATGTATTTTATTGGGAATGCAAAATAAAAGTAACAAAACGCATTTTTTGTGATATAACTTTGTATTTTCGGAAACGGGTTGCCGTGAAAGGTCAAATTTGATCTAAATTAATCGCAAAAACGTTTTATTTTAAATGTAACAAAACACGTTTTGCGACTTAACCTTGTATTTTCGAAAACGGGTGTCCTGTAGGCTTGCACGTAATTGACAAAAATCAATTCCGTAATTACGACAAAATCAATTACGTAATGACCCCGTAATTGCGATATTTTTCCACGCATTTAAACCTATCATAACAACCAATTGAATCACTTCTTTTCCGAATGGGACATCGAAGTTGGGTTTTCATATTCTTTGCAGTACTACACGCCGTCGGCAGATGTTAAAGACAAATATCAAGGAGTGAATTCAAATTAATTTTATTCTGATTTTTATCTTTTGTGTTAGCTTTGGTTTTCCTTTATCACCTTCGCAAATTAACCGTCCCATTTTTATGCGATCAATTTTATTTTATTATTACCGACACTGGTATACGGATATTTATGGAAACGATAGTTTTTTAAAACCACCTTAGTACTGAATAAAAATTACGGGTTTCTAATTTATTAACCAACGACGAGCGTATTCTCTCGTTTGATTATACTTGCGATTTCCTCGCGACGAAGACTTGTTTTTGCAGCGTCTTCTGCATTATCCGACATTACTGCCTTGTTAGCATTTTATAATAATAATTATTGATGTCGACTTATTGACGATATTCCGATTACCATGCTTCATTTTACATTTAATCATTTCGCGGACTGAATGTTTATAACATTATTTGCGATAAATTTAGATCAAATATTATTTATTTGAGTATAATTTAAATATCGAACTTATATGATATGCCTTCTCCGAAAATACAAAGTTATATCGCAAAACAATGCATTTTGTGACATTTATTTTACACTCACTACATTTATTTGCTAACTCAAGTCGGCGATCCTATCGGCCAAGATTGACACAAGTTTGGTCGAGTGCCGATGGTATTCAAGTCGACGATAAATCAAAATAAGTTTGTTATTTGGTAAGACAGTTAAACATATATGGCCGAAATATTGAGAGGAATTGTGAAAAACATCATGAGCAAGGCCAACTCCGGACTGATATATAACGATAAAACCGTTAACAGAACATCAAGATTTTGTAATAGAAAATGGATCTCGCACAGAATAAACACACTGGCTCATATTTGATTATATATGATAGCAGTTAAATTTTTAGCGGTCCGCGAGGAATCCGTCGTTTTGCTGTTTCTCTGCCGTCTCAATCGCTTTACCGATGCCGAGAAGACGAAGTTGCGTTGGTTCATTACGCAATCTCTCTTTTGTCGTCATATTGCTATTTGATTAGCGCAACATTAATTATCACAGCGAGGTATTGGCGCGAGAGATCAATCGCTCTTTTCGCTTATTTGGTTCCAATTCGTCGCGAAAGCTCTTCGTTAAATTTCACAAGATCGTCGTGTTGAAAGGTTATGGATATTTTCCTGTTTATACCCCAAGTCTGAAATAAAACAGCCAAAAACAGTATGGTATTCCATGTTCATATATCAAGTGTTGATATTAACAATAAAGAATGGTTAAGCATTGCTAATCCACACTTGGTGGGGAATTCCCACTATTTAAACGCGTGACTATAAAATGGAATAAAATAGAAACGGAACATATATACCATAAGTAACAGAAAACTGGAACAAGTAAATAATAAATAAAAGTAAAATGGATACAAATGTTTGATAGACCATGTTTGAAAGATTGATCTCCTGCGTTCATTAGTCATTTCACCCGAAGAAGTTGAAACCGGGCGTGTTAGCATCCATCGGTCTTAACACAATTCTTCCCCCTATCTACGGTTATTATGTACATTGGCCATGGCCATGCTAGATAAGATGGGAGAGAAGTTGAAACCAGGTGTGTTGGCGTCAATCGGTCTCAACGCAATTCTATCCCTTATCTACGGTTAAGTTACGGGAGAAATCCCTTATCTACGGTTAAGTTAAGGGAAAGCTCGTTTCAATGCAATAATTACGACTTTATGTAATTCGTAACTTCCCTTCCGTAACTCCAAATAATTACGTAATTCCGTAAATCAGTAAATTACGTGCAAGCCTAGTGTCCTGAAAAGTAAAATATGATCTAAATTAATCGCAAAAATGTTTTATTTTAAATGTAACAAAACACATTTTCGCGATATAACCTTGTATTTTCGGAAACGGGTTGCCGTGAAAGGTCAAATTTGATCTAAATTAATCGCAAAAATGTTTTATTTTAAATGTAAAAAAAACACATTTTTCGCGATATAACCTTGTATTTTCGGAAACGGGTTGCCGTGAAAAGGTCAAATTTGATCTAAATTAATCGCAAAAACGTTTTATTTTAAATGTAACAAAACACGTTTTGCGATATAACCTTATATTTTCAAAAACGGGTGTCCTGAAAAGTAAAATATGATCTAAATTAATCGCAAAAATGTTTTATTTTAAATGTAACAAAACACATCTTCGCGATATAACCTTGTATTTTCGGAAACGGGTTGCCGTGAAAGGTCAAATTTGATCTAAGTTAATCGCAAAAATGTTTTATTTTAAATGTAAAAAAAACACATTTTTCGCGATATAACCTTGTATTTTCGGAAACGGGTTGCCGTGAAAGGTCAAATATGATCTAAATTAATCGCAAAAATGTTTTATTTTAAATGTAACAAAACCCCTTTTTCGCGACATAACCTTGTATTTTCGAAAACGGGTGTCCTGAAAAGTAAAATATGATCTAAATTAATCGCAAAAATGTTTTATTTTAAATGTAAAAAAAACATATTTTTCGCGATACAACTGTATTTTCGGATACCGGGTGTCATGAAGAGTAGAATATGATATGAATTAAACGTAAATAATGTTTCATTCCAAATGTATCAAAACGCATTTTTTGCGATATAACTTTGTATTTTCGAAAACGGGGCGCCTTGAAAAATATTAATCTAATGTTTTATCTATCGTCTAACTAACGTCTGGTACACATCATTTTCGGGGAGAACTCTAGCCCGCGAAACGTCATTTAATTTAAAATAGAGAATGTTTCACGCATTCCAAAACGGAAAATCGCCAGTAAGTCGACCGGGATTCAACCCTCCGGATTCAGTATTCTATATCCCCGTGTCAGAACTTTCTGAAGAATGGAACAAGGAACCCGGCAAACCGCCGCGGAAGAAGGGGAGTATTTTTTGCACTAATAATTAGGGCGTGACATTATCAAAATCGTCAAGAAACTGGTGAATTTGCAAATACCATAAATAAAATTGTGAATTGCTGGTAACATTTTAGCTATAATTATCGCCGGGGTATTGTTTTGTTGTAAACACTTTCGAGGGAATTGGTTACAATTACGCCTGACCTCTATTAGGCACTCGAGCACTCGAAAAAAAAGCACTCGAGCCCAATCTTTTTAGCATTAAGTCGCATACGTAAAATATCCTGTAAAAGAAGTGCTGTTCATTAACGTCATCTCGTCTTAAGACCATGCAGAAATGCCTTTATTGCCGAATTATTCAATCACTATTTTAAATCAACATTCAGGATTGCACAATTTCAGATTTGCGAAGTTTATCACCATAGAAAAACATGAGAAATTATCGTCTTAATAAATATCTGCATCACGGTATCGACAATAATATTACCAATTGGCATAAAATTGGGACGGTAAATTTACAAATCTTGATAGGTAATATTTAAAGCCAACGCAAATGTTAGTTTGAGTCCTCAATGTCTTCAACAGCTGTTGCCGATGTGAACGAACGGGTAAACCCGAAATATAAAACTTAGATGTCGGCCGACCCGCAAGAATTCATATTTGTAAAAAAGAGAGGGCTGGAATATAGATTACCAAAACCTGGATATCGCCGCCAAAACGATCGGTAACAAGAACAATTAGCGATTACAACGGAATTAACCAGTAAAAAGGCTTTGTTGCTCGATTCCAAAAATATTTGTTATTCGGTACTGGTTAAAAATATTCGATTCAAAAAAATATTGAATTTTGCCCACCCGTACTCCCATATCAATGAGAAATAGTTGTGTAAATATCGCAAAATTCCGGAAAATGCCACATGCTTTCAACATTGTGATTACAATAAAATGGCACTTAATGGTATTTTGTGAATTTGGTGATTTTGCAAATCTGTGACATGCTGCTAAAAGTTTCGTCTGATTTGAAAATCGTGCACTTTGGTCACGATTCATCCAAAGTGACTATAACACTTTACTAACACTTTTATAGTCATTTTGAATTCATCGATATCATTGATAGTCACGTTCAAAGAAACGCACTGCTTAGTATTCCAACATCTGGTTTCAAAGACGCGGAGCGTTTTTGCGGGAGAAGCGGAATCGGTGTGCTTGTATAATAATCATATTTAAAACAAGAATTTTGCCGTTAATGCAAAAGCTTTATCTCCTATGTCTGCATCTCATAGGTTAGAATTCCGGTAAATATCCTTATGATATGCAGAATTGAGTTACAAAAGTACTAGTATGTTACTTATTTGTCAACTTAATACTCGAAAATATTTGTTAACTTTGAATTTTTATTCCATTCAAAATTGGAAAAAAAGTGCTATTCTCTTCAAAATCGGAAAAAAGTGCTATTTCGCAGTCCCTAAAAAAAGTTGCGAAAGTGCTTCGCAATTTTCGCAAAAAAGTGCGCTAATAGTGAACACTGTATATAAGGTTACAATACCAAAACTAGGTACCACGATTTCCACCATTGAATATCTCATAATTATTCTACCCATTACATGCCAATCTGTCAAATCCAGAAATATTGACATAAAATTGAAAAAAAAAATGTGACATAAATTACTTTGGTTTTTCTGCGTCGACATACAGTTGGCTATATCATGACTTTCAGCAACAGAGATTATTGAACACCACAATTACCTATTAAATGCAGGAGCACTCACAATACCAGCAAGATGGATAACAGCATTGGAACTTTTCACAACAGATTCCAAAGTTATATCATCTAGGATATCACCATTTATAATCTCAAGATGTCTGGTATCCAAATTTGAATTCAATAATGGCTGCATTCCCCACCTAAAATGAAAGCTTAAGCTTGTTACTGTTATTAAACACAAATGAACTTGTAGAATAGCATTTTTTCTATGCGAAACAAAATCAAGTTGACGTATGGAAAAAAATTGATTTAGTTCTTCTCCAATTTGGTATCGTTTCATATTAATGAAAAACTTATGAATGATATATATGTGCAGTGCATTGAGTATGGCAATATTAGAATCAAGAACATTTGAAACTGTGGCTCTTAACTGCATTTAAATGCTTCTATTCCTTATTCAATCTTTAAAGGATCATGAGCTTGTAATACGAGCAAATGGTACTTAGCCTTTGAGTTTATGATGTTGGGTCAAAAATATTGGTAACATTACACCCAAATAAAAGAGTAAAAATTCAAAAAACATTAATGGAGGAGAGTGATTAAATCTAACCATTTGGATATTTCAATAATTCCCTTGAAAGCCCTTAAAAAGGTTGACTATTATTCACGGAGCCCCAAAATAAATGTTAAAATTGTTACTTTCCGATTAATATTCCTGAGTAAGTTAAAAGTACTTTACTTAATTTAAACTGCAAATTTGACACTTGGCAAACATATTAATAATTGGGGGTCGAATCTTTTCTCTTTTGACATTTTTGGAAGACTTAAAGGGCCGCTAATAACTGCGCGATTGAATTTTGTTACAATTGCCGATTGTTTTCGTCAGCATGGCGTGTTTTTAAACCTTAAACATCTTTACGCCGAAGTTTATTCTCCCTAAATCGAAAATTTTCTTTGGCATATAGTCCATGTATTGTTCCACAATGACGACAACAATTGCTTTTTTGTTCTCGTGGGAAATTATGTGTTTAATGTGAAAAACATATTATGGTCATCGGCGACGAAATGCTAAAAATCATAATTAATAAAGAGGTGAATCCGCAACTCAAATTTCTTGATTGAAAAGCGGCATTCTAAAATATTAAAACTAAAACTTAAAATGGAAGATCACACTATAAGTTTGGTTTCAGCAGACCTCAAAACGCTTTTATAAACATTGTTTATCCCAAAACTTGGTGTTATGTTAGGTTTTCTTGGTTAATTCATCGTAGTAACTGCGAAATCGAAACACAGTCAATTGTGCGCGCGATGTAGGCTACCTTTTTTCATTCTGAAACTACCGACTGGAGCCGCATGCAATAAAATAAATTTCAATCGTTTGTATTTTGCCCAGACCTTGTGATTTTTTAAACGCGATAACTTGCTTAGAAATAATCTCGAGAGCGAAAGAACAAATCAAGTATGATAAATCCCAAGATCGCAAAAATAAAACTTTATAGTTTGCAGTTTTGTACATATTTTATGTTATTTTATAATAGTATTCTTTCATTTTAGTAATCCTAATAGTAATCTCGAATCAGACGTGAGTAACGATGAGCACAAATAAATTATAACGCCAAGACACTTTAAATGCTCGCATCGGTCATGGATTGAATATTTTACGCAACCGAAATCTCGTTTTCCTTTTTAATCGCGAAGAATGTTGCACAGAAATTTCCTATTCCAATTTTTAACTCCCTCTCACGAATCCTGGCTGCGCTACTGCTTATAAATATTGTCATTTTAATATATTTTGAGGCTATATTGTTGTCAAATTTTATCAAAGCTGTTATTTATTGCTTCTTTGAACAGCTACAAAATTAGCAAAGTCAGTACTTTGAAAAGTAATGGAATAGCTCGCGGAGCCCCTGGGTTTCTCTCGCGGAGCCCTGGGACTCCGTACGGAGCACTTTGAGAACCTATGCGATAGGGTAATACTGTAATGCCATTTGAGTAATATTCCAGGTATGCAAATACTTCCTCCTGTACAATGACATACTGAGAATCTAGTATAGTACCATAAGAAGTATTTTCCGGGAACGATTTTCGAAAATTACATCACTGCGAAGACGTAGTGAGGTAATACGGGATACGGCCCTCCAAAGTATACGAATAGTCGCGCAAACAATCATCCAAAATCGAGCAAGCTATTTCTCTCGTTTTCTCGTCGAAACGATACCGATAAGAGAGAGATCGCTGAGGTTGGTGAGTTCATTACAGTCGACACATATGCCTTCTGGACGACCGTAGCTAAACTTTAGCAAGCTTTATGACGCGATTGTGATGTTGCAGTGATGTAATTAATTTTTGAGTGATGTATCCAGGTGGGGGTTAGCAATATTATATGCAAAAATCGTTATGCTACGCCCACTAGAAGTGGTTGAGAGCGCGTACTTCAGAAGACCCCCAATTTTGCATATGATGTTCCTAACCCCATCTGACTATGTCACTTAAAAATTGCGTCACTACGACATCACAATCACGCCATAGAATTTGTCCAAGTATAGCTACGATAGCCCGAAACATAATCTACGCTGCCGATTACGAATTCATTACCACCATCGATCTCTCTCATATCGGGTGATGTTCTTCGCATTTTGGACGACAATATGTACACCAACGAGGGCTTTATTGCGCCAATGTGACGTCGTAGTAATGTGAT